AGGAGGTGGGTACGGGGCGGCCCGGGGGCTCGCACGCACCCGGCCCGGGGAGGGCTGCCTCCGGCCAAGGTGCGACCAAACCTCTCGGTGTCTCTCCCCAGATGTGCGAGAAGTTTACCGTCTGCGAGAACAGCATGGAAATGCTCGTCCAGAACAACCTCAACCTCCCCAAGGTGACGGAGGAAGATGGGTGTCTGCTCGCCGGCTTCGATGAGGCAAGGAACCGCTCTCCTTTCCCGTCTAATCCTATATACCTGGGGCAATAAGCCCCAGCAGTGCTTTTTTGCCTGCTCCAAAAAACTGCAGAAGTTGACCTAAAGATTGGTGCTGGCTCCAGCACAGATCTCTGCGTTCTGTATAAGCATCATCCGCTTACCTGCGCTGTATGCGCAATACTGCGATCGAGGCACTGCTGAGCTGTAAGTGACTTTCTCACCTTTCTCTCATTTCAGGATAAATGCTTGAGAAAACTCTCCAGTGGGCTTTATACGTTTCGGACATACCTTCAATATGTACAAGAAACTTTTACCAGTGAAAAGCAAAATGTTGAATCGCTGTGCTATAGTACAGAGCACCTGGCACGTACCATAAGACAGATGGTGAGTTGGTTTTAAATTCACTCCGGTAATTGTTACGGCTTAGCACTGTTGTGTAGTCAGAGAAATAGGATGCTATGTGAAGTTGAACATTTCTCACTTTCGTTTCTTCTCAGCGGAAACAGGTGATGGTTCCTTATGCTCAGATACTTACCCTTAAGTAAGGGTAGACTTGCAGGTTTTACAAGCTTTTGTTTTCTTTTCTTAAAGAAACAACTCTTCTTCCTACTTTCTATTGTTATTTCTAATTTCCAAACCAACAATTAAATGCATCATATTGTTTTAAGAACAAATATACTAACGCTGCCTGGCCGATAGAAATAAGGTTTCTCAGGGAGCTTGTTCCCAATTGTGGAACTGCAGTTCAGTCCAAGCCTTCTAATGTTGCAATCCCCTGAGAAGTAGATATAAGTAACTTTTTTTAAAACCCACATAAATAAAAGCAAATACATTTTTACAACATTATTAATCTTTAAAACTCTCCAAAACAAACTCTTAAGCCAAGCTGCATGGTATATTGTAGCTTAAAAATCAAGGAAGACAGTTAAATTCAGAACATAAGTTAATAACTTGACTAAATAAAAGGTGCTGCCTATTGAAAAGCACACATTTTGGTTGTAATCATGATGAAAAAAAAACTTCCTTCTTTACAAACACCCGATTTGCTTTTGGTTTGGTAAACTAAATACTATTCATTTCTGACAATTTCTGATAGTTGTTTTCTGTTTTGGAGAGCTTTGAGAGATCACACTTCAAAAATTCACTTCATTCCTGCAGTTCTTAATCACATTAATAACCCTTAACATGAATACTTAGTCATCAGGGAAACTATTTGCCTGAGTAAGAACCAACCAGGTGAGTAAGGACCGCAGAACTAAGAGCTGCAGAAATCTCAGGGCATTATTTGCTTCACGGCGGTTTTTGGCACCTGAAAAGCCCATTGTGTGTTTGCCATACCTTTCCTAACACATTTATTTATGTCCATCATTCTTTAAGTGAAAGGGAGCTGAACTGCTTTTTTCACACTGTACTAGCCAAGAAGAATAGTCCCGTCGTAAGACAGCAACTGACTGCTGGCTTCCAACTTGATACATTACTTTGTAGAGAGTTCATTTCGTAACTGGGGGAGCCTAGCCTTTTTGGAAAATCAGGAAGATCGAGGTAGTTGGGACAGGCAGAATTAAACACAGTGATCAAAAGCAAAACCTGTACTTGTAGAAACTGCAGTTTTTGAGAAAGGGAGGAGGCTTGATGTCCAGATTGGAAATTTTTCTTTACGGGAGAAGTCTATCTGCTATTTAAGGCAAGGAGAGCAAGGACAGAATCTGTTACTTGTGGTCAGGTAGATCCATCAGCACGATAGCTATCTGGATGTCCAGACACAACCCTTTGCAGGGTGCAACAAGGAGTTGGATATACTGGTGTGTGATCAGAATCCACTGCTAAGTAGTCTGGACAGAAAGAATATTCATCTCTTACTGAATTTCACAAAAAATATATTCCAGAAGGAGGTGCATGTGCTTTTGTCACTTGTTAAAGTTTAGGAGAGGTCCTAAACTCGGGATGAAGCAGATACTTCGCTGTTAGACTACTAGACCCCAAATCATCCAAAGCAGCTCCATGCTTTGGGTGAGCAATTCCCATTTTCAGAAGTCACCTACGCACTCCACGGGACAAGTTCTTAAAAGGCATTTGGGTACCGGTGCCCAGCGCTGTCAGTCAGCATTAGGTACATAGCTCCTTTTACTATCTCGCTGTTAGGATCCCACACATCAGTGAAAGTTGGTGACAGTCTCCCACATGCCTAAATGCCTGGAAAGTAAGAATTAAGCAGCTAAACAAGTTTGACATCTTTGGAAACTGTTAATCTATTATGAAATGTGAGAGTACTCCAATGTCACCCAATTAACTTATGACTCGGGACGCAGCAGCCAGTACAGGTTAGGACGAATCATGTTCAGCACCTTCCCAACTAACCACGCGGTCAGCAGATAGCAGGAGAGGTGTATCGATCTGTTCAGTGCAGCGTGTTGGACCACGACGCCAGACGTTGCATTCAAACCAGAAAAAGTGGTATAGATCAGATGAGACGCTTTGATTCTTCTGCAGTAATCGTAGCAGGCATCAGGGCACCTCAAACCCCACTGCAGAAGCGGGGCTGTAGGGAAGCACAGGTCCCAGGGAGGTCTGTCGGCAGCAGTACAGAAACGTTGGATACACAGCTGGTCAGGAATGTATTCTACATGTAAACCCGATGCTCTCCAACAAGCTCAATTACAATGTTTTAGCCGGGGCACCTCAATATTGTCTTTTTCACAGGTGATAAACCCCGATGAAGTGATCATCCCAGACTCAGCTACCCAGGAATCCCTCCGCGCAAAGCTGAAGTCCGATAAGACCTGGATAGAGAAAATCACCACCCACCTCATCCTCCGAGACTTTACTTCATTTATGGAGAAAACCGTGAGGGCCGTTCGCTATTTGAAAAATACCAGGAGTTTCAGTGCCTGAATGTTTTAATTCAGGCACAATCCTTTGTTACAAATCTGTCATGTGGCAGATGACAGTGTTGTTCTGTTTTAAGAACCAGAAATAGTAACAATGGTTTGCATTTATATACATTCTCATTTCCTTCTAGGAACCTATTTATTGTATTTAAAATATTTATTCATTTCTAATGTTTCCTAATTATATTTTCAATATTTAGAAATAATTTAAACAAAGGACCTATTTTATTTCATTTCTAATGGTACTATTCAGACTATCAACTTATTTAATATGTATTCAACAACAAAAATATTTTCAGAAGGCAGAAAAACTGTTGCATAACTTACACTTTTAAAATATTTGAGATGTTATTTATGTCTTATTTATATTTTTAGAACAAATAAAAGCTGATTTAAAAAAAAAACTGGTTAACCTGTTTGAACTTTAAATAAGACTAAGGAACTCTACTGTATCTGATTTTTAATACCGACAATTATCAAAATAACCACTTTCAAGAATTTATCTGTATAATTAGGTCAGTTATCTACATAGCGCATACATACACAGACAGCTTGAGCAACATATAATTCTTAAAATGGGATATAAAGGAACCAGACGCACTGACCATGGCCCTTCAGAATGAACACGATAAAGCATCATTGCTCTTGAGAAACAAATGAACGAGTCCCCTATATTTAATAAACAACACCCCATTGTAATGTAATTGGTTTTGAGCAGATGCTTACAAGTCAAGCAATCTCTTTTATAGAGATTACCATAAAGTGGTAAGATAACAAATTACTAGGTTTGACATGAATACTGTCATCTGATTAGACTTATTGCTGTCATCCAAGGGAATTTTCCAAGTCTGATTAAACATCTCTCCCGCCTCCCCCAAGAAGCAGGGAAAAAAAAAAAAATCTTAGGCTCTTTCCTTATGTTGATATATATGTTGATATAAATCAACATATTGCTGCTGAGATGTCAATGACTGTTGACGATCTAATGCATGTCTTTTTTCAAGTTATATTCCATGCTAGTGGGATTCCAAGCCACTAACATGAATGCAAATTCTTGAATACTGTAGAGGAAGAAAAAAAAAAAAAAACAAAAAAAACCAAACCTTAGCCTGAGTACCAAACCGCTGAAACCATCTTACCATCTGCTTCATTGTGGCTGTGCAGGTACCCGCTATACCCAAACTCAGAGGAATTCACAGCACACACAAGGGATGCAAGCGGCAGAAGGCCCCTCGAGCTTTGTCCCTACAAGTGGTGGAACATTAATTACCCTCTCTCTTTTGCGCGGCAGGGTGGTGGAGATGAAAGGCAAGCCCTGGAATGTGGATAAGGATGTCAGTAAATTCTCCTCTTCCTCTGAGCGATCTGATCATCCACACACGCATTCCACCGCTGGGGATGCCAAAACCGTGACCAGTCCACCCAGAGCCCGCGTCTCAGAGGCTCAAAACAAAACAAACCACAGCTTTGCCCAATATGGTAAAACCAACGTCTCGAGTTGCGCGACATCTCAAGAAGGAATGAGGAGACCTCAGGGTGGTCACTGTCAAGATGTCTGTGGTGAATGGGGTTTTCCTCGCAAGACATAAGATCCTGCTTTAGCTGTCCTGCCATGTGCTCTAGGAGACATAGGAAAGCCTGGTCTGACTTTTCAACAGCTTACCTTCACAGAGATTTTCTTAGTGACCATTTGGTTAGAGACCATTCTGGCCCTTATTACGTCCATAATAGCTATGAGACCCAAATATGGATCCCATGTTGGACCTTTTCAGGACTTTATTATTACTATGTGAGAACAGAGGGGGAAAAAAAAAGAAGGAAAGACAGACAGACCAAAAAGAAAGGCATCTCCTGGTCTCACCTCTCCCAGTAGTGGGTGGTTGCCCAAGATCACCATTAGTTACTATGTACACTGCAGCTAGACAAACTCACGCTGATTTCCTCCTTGAATTCCAGCAGGCATCTAAAATACAGGGTACTGAAATCTCGCGCAATTGATAGACAAGCGTCCACACTTCCCACCGGCACCCTTCAGCTGGTGGCCACCCCAGGTTGTCCGCCACTCTGGTAAAGATGTAAATGCTACTACATTTTAGGATGCAGAAGATCAGCAAAGATCACCGCTTGCTGGGAGGGGAGGTCAACTTCAAGTCCTTCCTGGGGTGACGGGTATCGCTGAGCTGCCGCTGAGCTGCCAGTATTTTACCTGTGGCTCCTCCACAGCCACCCGCAGTTCTCAGGGTACTTCAGTGCAGCAGCTGCCTTGCTAGCCATCGCTTTGCCGTCACTGTGCCAACTTCAGGGACTGTCCCCAGGATAAGCACCACTTGCTGAAATCTACCCACACTGGCGTCTGTGGCAAGTGAAGACTCGCAGTGGGGAATTCATATGGAAGTTAGATGAGAACTAAACACTGTTGAGCATGTTATGGAGCCTCTCAAATTAACCAACTTATCGTCCTTTTTCCAGTTTGCTGTGTAGCAAGTATTTTACAACAATCCATAAACACACATGGACAGTTATTTTAGCTGGCAGACCAGCACAAACACATAAAAAAACAGAATAGTAAAAATGAGCATTCCTAATTCTTATAAATCAATCCTCAAAAATAACTGTGCTACTTTTAGCAACAGTGAAATACCTCAACGCTCCTATTGAAGAGAGCTCCTCCTGACAGCTAACTCTGAGCAAGGCAGCAAGTATTTTACAACAATCCATAAACACACATGGACAGTTATTTTAGCTGGCAGACCAGCACAAACACATAAAAAAACAGAATAGTAAAAATGAGCATTCCTAATTCTTATAAATCAATCCTCAAAAATAACTGTGCTACTTTTAGCAACAGTGAAATACCTCAACGCTCCTATTGAAGAGAGCTCCTCCTGACAGCTAACTCACTGAGCAAGGCAAAAAAAAAAAACCAAAACCAAAAAGACCTGCTAATAATTGCCTGTAAAAACTAGGAAACTACCCAGCAAAGAAGCATTTTGGCTGTTGCTGTACAGGACCAGCCTCTCCCCACAGGTTCCAGCTAGTCTTTCCCCATGTTCGCATTGCATCCCTACTTGTTAACCTCACACAGAGATTTCAGAATGCTCAACAGATTACTAACTCCCTTTATCCTGAATTTGCTTTCCGAATGCAGGAAGAGGGTAAAGCTGTGTTAAAAAGCATGCATACACTCTACAGTATGCAAGAAAAAGCCCACAGCATTAAGAGACAGTATCAAAGATGAGAAACAAAATATTTCTCAGTGCTGTGGACATGACACTAAAATGCTGGACAAGAGAGAGAAAAAAAATTAAAAGACAGAATGCAACCTAATACTAATCTGTAATGCAGAATTACTTAATTTTTTTTGCAATGACAGTCTCTGAAGTATCATTTTTCTATTTTTAACCACACTTGTTCATCAGATGTATAAGAAACTTTAAAAAAAAAAAAAAAAAAAGGAAAACACTTCAGCCTGATCCACTTCCCAGGTTGCAGTACCATCCCCTGCCCAGTAAGCCTATGTACTGATGTAAACGCTAAGTTTTGGCAGAAAGAACAACAGCTACTTGAAAGAGACTGTCTCTATCTCTAGTACCTTCACAGATCTTATTAATGGCTGATGGCAAGTGAGGTTAGCAAGACAGAGCTGATGCTACAAGAGATGGAAGAGTTACGCCACCAGTGAAGCGAGGGGAGCAGGATCACTTTTCAGCAGTAATGAGCCATTAGGTTGGCTTAGCTTAATGGGAAACTTCCACCCAAGTTTGCCACTGTTATTTGTGACTAATAATCTTTTCCGCATTCAATTTAAAAGATAAAATGGCAGAAAGGCAAGTATACAACAGCATACACCAAAGTCAGACGCTAATGGTCAAGAAGTGCTGCCAAATATATATATATATTGCTACAAACCTTGTGATATTGGGTGGGAAGCTTTCTGTAAACCCTTGCTTCTCGAGTCGAATGATTAGATAACAATTTCTGATCTCTCTCAGTGAATTTCTTTCTTCTTCCTGATAAGAGGAAAAACAAAACCTACTCCCTCACCCCCAGAAAACGCAACCTCTGCAGGCTCCAACACTGAAACACCATTTCCTCCCTGAACCCTTAACAAAATCAACTAATTTCTGTAATCTAAACATATTTAACCAAATCTCGAAATACTTTCAAGACTGTCTTTGGCAGTCTCATCAGGTAGCACACTACAGAAATTTTACAGTCTGAATTTCTATTCAGTGATCAGAATCTAAGAAGATTCAACCTTTCACAAGAAAATATTTTAAAAAAATTAAACATTAATCTTCAAATTCAGAAAACGGATTTGATTTGCCCTACCATTTTTTTTTTCTACCAGACAGTGCTTACCTAACACAGTATTTTCAAGATTTTATTCAGTTTCAGCTGTACTGAGTGCAAAATTCTGACTGGTTTCAGTAACAGCAAATGTATTTATGACTAGTTTTTTCTTTATCCCTTTGAACTTACATATTGATAGATACAGTTCTACATTCTGTACCATACAAATAGGGACAATATGATGTATAAGCAAATTATATTAATAGTTTTATTACATGAGAGAATCACTTAAAGCTGTTACACACACATACACAAAAGCAAAATCACCTAGGGAAAGCTCAAAGTCCCATCCTCAGCTCAAAAGAGAAAAACTACCTACCACACCGTCACTACTGCACAGCAATAGTCTGTGCCTCCTCTTCCACTTCTACTAACAATTTGGGCAGAGATGTAAAGGGAAAAGGGATTATAAATTGACTATGCCTGTGGATCCCACATTAGCACACGTTAACAAACATGATGAAGTTCAAAGATGTCCCTCAAATTGTGACACCTATACCCCTCCTAATCATACAGCACAGTGACCTGGGACAGGGCTATAAAAGAAAATGGAGTTTGTTGTAAGAGAGACCATCTGGGATGAAGGCAGATGTATAGGCAATCTTCTAGCCTGGCTGGAAAGGGACTGCTTTCAGGTTGCACTATCATGAATTGCACCAATTGGGGGTGGGGGGTGGGGGGTGGTGTCTCTGTGAGAATAAAGTGGATCCCGAGAAACAGAATTGGAACATAACTGGAAATCCGGGCTTATCTCACTTCCCAGGCTAATAACTACTCCCTGCTTTCCAGTTGCTCAAACTTCTTA